GGTGCTTTGAGAATACTTCTGTGGCGTCGAGGCGATGCATGTTCCAGTTTCGACGGCTGCAGAGCCGACGAATCTTTTGCAATTGGCGGTCTGCCAAAATGCAAGTGTTTTCTTTAATTTTGGAAATAGCTGTTTGAAGAAGCCTCTCTTGCGTTTCCTCATCGTTGATACCACAAGCTTCGCCCCGCAAATACTCATCCATTTCAAGCATCCCTATAGCCTTCCTGATTCCGTGAGTATATTCTGCTTCAGCAGTGGAATCGAACATTCTCCTCACCTCATCCACCAAACCGGCCTCCACCATCCGATCCACTCTCTCCGATACAAAAGACTTGAGCACCGGCAGCGCCACATCCACCCATATAAAGCAACACTCGCACTTCATTCTGAACTCGGGGTGGTCGTCCACCAGAGCTTCGATGTAGGAATTCGAGCCACCGGTGATGATGGGGAGCCTGTCGCGCTCCAAGATCGATTCGATAGCCAAGGATGCATGCTGCTTGAAATCATTGGCTGTGAAGTTGAATTTTGGATCCATTATTCCAAGCAAGTGGTGAGGTATGCCTCTACACTCCTCTTCAGTGACTTTGTTGGTGACAATGTCCAAGCCTTGGTAGACTTGCATTTCGTCCGAGTTTATAATCTCAGCAGGGAAACGGGTTGCGAGGTCTATGGCAAGCTTGGACTTGCCAGTCCCGGTGGCTCCCATTACAACAATAACCTTATCTTTTCGCCTGAAAGAAGGATCCATGTTGATGCTGGGCAAGCCAGGAGACATGAAAAGTTTCATTGTAATTAATAGAAACCTGCCAGGTTGACCCAAAAACACAGGTAAGATTTCAATTCTGTGGAAAATAAATTTATACACAAAATTAGACATGAAAGCAAAGCATGCCTCATCACATGATTTTTTGGACCACTGTACCTTTAAAAAAACGCGGCGACTTGTTGATATAAAAATGGCCTGGCACTGGCAGGCACAAGAGCTTCTTGCTGTAGAGAAAGAGAGGAGAGAAAAACCAGAGACAGAGAGATGCTGATCTCGTATTAGCTTCCTAATTCTCAAAATACTGTTTGGTTTGTGAGAAAATGATTTATGACGTCAGGTGGATTTGTTTGATCTGCTTTTCTAGCTTGAAGGTTTTGAACCTGAATGATCACTGCCCGCTTGAAGGTATTTATGGTGGTGGGAAAAGGCTAAGGCAACCTTATGTTTGGCACCTACAATATTTGGGGGGCTTGACTAGGTTGGTTGCCTAATTAGTTTGGTTGCCTAACTTGGGGGGCTTGACTAATGTCTTAGGAACTTGTATATATATGTGTTGATTGTAAGGAATGAAACATAAGTGAAAATCAGAAAATATTCTACAACTCTCATTCTCTCTACACTTTCCACTCTCTACTCTCAATATTCTCTATGTTTTAGCAAGAAGTAGTTACAAAACATGATTACAAGGCCTGAGACCACGTAGATGACAGAGGCAGTACATTTGAACCAGAGAGGAAATGGGATTGTAATGCAAATGAAGAAGGCTGTGATTCCAAAAAAGACCCCAAAAGAATGGAAGAGATCAACTGTTATTCTTGGACAGTTGTTGTTATGAATAAATTTGCTTACCATGATGCAAGCAAAGGAAAACAGGATCGTGAGTCCGAGAAATTGAAAGGTTAAAGGGAGCTTGGACGGGTGTGAGAGCCATGGCAACGCCTGTTGACAAGCAATACACCACAATAATCTTTGCCCAATCTAAGCTTTGGGCTGCTGCTGCTGAAGTACTTTCTGGGTCTACAAGGAAGTCACCAACCATCCTCTTGGCGGGTCTTGCCACGTG